GGAGAGGGAGGAGATGGCCGCCGATGAGTAATTGTGGAATGTGTAGCACCATGGCGGCGGTTATTCATTCGACGAGAGGGGCGGCGCGTGCAAATTTTCCTAGGACTAAACTGCCCCTAGATTAAAACGCGTCCCCACCTTGTCACGAGTACCGGCCCCACTCGTTTTAGTACTTTCGCGTACTTTCATCGAAGTACTACCCAGTACTTCGTATTTGTCTGCCGTTAGATCGACATCAACGAACGGTTCTAAAAAAGCCCAACCACTCTAAAACTTGTAATGTTTTAGATGGACTGCATTTTTCTTGGTGTGCTGTTAATTGAACCAAACAAGCTTAGATACAGTCATTTACCCGAGATACTCACGCCTTCCAATTTGACTGACCTCACAGCCATCAATAAAGCAAAGATGTATGTTGACGATTTAGAATAAATTCTTCTTCCATCGCATGGCCTCTCTATCAAGTTGTTCATTTTTATTTCCCGGGTTGTACTTATTTTCTTGTCACTACAAAGCATAATGTAATGCATGCCGTCAATTTCTTTGTTTAGTACTATTGAATTAGAATAATAATCTGCATCTGCAGGACAGTCATAAAACTATCTTTTGGTTCATTGGCATTTTTATCTCATTGCTAATTCTGATCTTAAGTGGTCCTTGAAACTTGTAATGTGCTGAATCTTATGTCTATGAATGGATGTTCATATACTTTTAGTGAACATATGCATGGCTGTTTCACATAAAGAAACTTAAGTGCTCCTTGAAACTTGTAATCTGCTGGAGGTTATGTTAAAACTTCTTCATCTGCTAACGTATGGAAGCGCGGGTGCGTGCCCGGCGGCTCTGACACTTCGAGCTCGCCGGGCGGCGCGGGTTGGGCAGTAGCCCGGTGTGGCGGCTGCCCCGGCCGTGGATGGCTCCATGGCAGCTTAGCAGGTCGACTGCGGCGGCGGCTGGCATTGTCCTGGCGTCGCCTCGTTCGTAGGTGACTTGTGACGGTCTTCGCTTTCTTTTCTCGTCATTCGGGCACTACTTCCGTCGAAGGGCTGTCCTTCTCCCAGTTGTGGTCCATCGCTTGTCTCGCGTTCGGTGCGGCAGGACCGTCCTCGTCTCGCGCACGATGTAGCAGGACCGAGCTCGTCTCGCACATGGTGCAGCAGGATCGACCTCGTATCGCACACAATGCCGCAGGACCAAGCTCGTGTCACGCCCGGTGCTGCAAGACGGGCCGATGGAGGCCAGATTTGGTCGGCCTATTGGGTTTCTGCATTGGGGCGGCGGCCCTGGTGGTGGTAGCACAATGCTCATGCGCAGAGCCCGTGGCTTGGTGCTGACTGGTGGTCATGGCCATGTGGGCAACGTGGTAGCCAGAGGGTGTGGCGTTCGGTGATGATGAGTGTTGTCCAGGGTGAAAACCTGTTCTTTCTTTGGACGGACTTGCGGCGGCGAACTGGACCATGACGAGCCCACACAGGACTCAGCCATCGCCGCATGACCCTTAAGATAAAGTCATACAATCGTTCGTTACCACGTACGCCACACATGACATGACGGAATAGTTCCTACAAATAACCCATGCGCTTTAGAATTCATAAAAAGCTTACCAATGCCATGAGCAACTGCATCTCTAGAGATCTTCACCATCGAGAAAAGCTGAGTACCCCTAGCTAGAGCCGCTCTCTTCAGGTCCACCACGGCCGACCTGTCTAGCAAATCATGACTGCGACGTGACACTGGTTGAAGATGCCGACGCACATATATTTGTCTAAAACAAAAAGATGCCGACGGACGGCGCACACTCACGTCCCGCCAAGATATGTACGTGGCTGGCTGATCAAATTGAACACGAGAGTAAGTACGTCCATTGCTCCAAGTTGGGTAGAAGGTACCAACTAAATGAATTGATAAATAAACAATCTGACGTCCAGCTGAGCTGTGTCTATAAAAAGATACACGTGAAGATCAACAACTCGCCAAGATATATCTATCCCCTGATTGTTGACATTTTTGTTCTGAAGACGACTTAAGCTATTGTTCTAATCTTTGGCATAGGGGTGGGCAGTGCCAACTACTGTCTGGTTCGAGAGAGAGAGAGAGAGAGAGAGAGAGAGAGAGAGAGAGAGAGCGACCCGTCTAATTTTAAGAGTAGAGTTGGAGATTTCTCAATCGGTGAGAGAGCAACACGAGAAGAGCTTCATGTATTAAAGAAGAAATTATGTGTGGAGGATAAGGTGAAGTGGCACGCCAACTAAACGACGACTTACATTGTTATTAGTAGAATTGATAATTAATAGCAAGTACGCATCTGTATGTTCAGCTCTCCTATATATACAGCACTGCAACGGAAGAACGGAGCTAGAGAGGCCTGAGGAGCCAGCCATTAGCGGCAAGTAACCAAAGACATTTCCGATGACACAAGCGACATTCTTCCTAGTCATGTTCTACATAGCCCTCCTCGGCCTCGGCAAGGGCATTTCCGGCGCATCGCCGCTAGCGGCGGCGGCGGCACCGCGGCCACGAGACTGCCCTGACAAGTGTGGGGACATAACCGTCCCCTACCCATTCGGCATCGGCCGCGGTTGTTCGCGCCCCAACTTCAACCTCAATTGCAGCGAGGGGGTACTGCTCAGAGGCAACAACATCCAAATCGAAAGCATAACGCTGGAGACGGCACAGATTGTCGCCTACCTCACGTCAACATACAGCTGCAACGCGCAGGGAAGGAGATCACGGTCATAGAACATGTCCTTCAACCTGGGCAGTGGCCTGTTCCTCCTGTCGCCGGCGGACAACGTTTTCACGGCCATCGGCTGCAGTCTAGAGGCGAGGCTCAACGGCCGCATCGGCTCCGCCTCCGCCAACCGCTACCTCACGGGCTGCATCACGACCTGCACCAGCGTGGACCTGGACGATATCGGGCAGGAAGGCGCGCCGTGCAGTGGCCAAGGCTGCTGCCAGGCCTCCATTGCTCCCGGCCTCAGCTATGTTGCATCACGCTGGGGCAAGGACAAGCAGAACAACAATCCAGTGCCCGACAACACATGCCAATATGCCTTCGTGGCCAAGAAAGGCTGGTACGTCCCTGACCAAATGATATACTAGTATTTTTCTAGATTTCATCACATTTATAGGGCATATATGCAGTTAATTTAGAAACAGTGGTTATTATTTCTTAGTCAATAGATTATGATAACAATATGTTCAAGATTTTATCTTGTTACGCAATCCCGGGTATGCTATCATCAGCGTTTCCGACCCACATGCCTCAACCAGGCCCAACCGAAGAGCAACACCGACTTATGTTAGGAGGGGACACCCCACCCTTATAAATCATGTTATGTCTCCTCCCACAACTGATGTGGAACTAAACCCAACATATCTTTTCACAATTTGCATGAATCTCGTATTTAGATAGGTATTTTATTGTGGCATAGAAGTAGGTATTTATCAGAGAAGCAGCAAAACCATATTTAGAAATCTCAATGTCATCAGCCGCTTCTCTTAGAGTTGCCACAAATTTTGCTACCATGGAGAAGAGAGAAGAAACAAACTGTTGTCCGATGATTTCCTCATGCTTCGCCATGTATTTTGTTACAAGCCCATCTTCCAGAAATGTTTAATGTGTGCCTTTATCGGTATTTTCAATGTAGTTGCCATTTTCATGTCGTTATCTACATATGCATTCACCACAGGTTATTACTGATAAGAAAGCAATGAGAATATGCGAAGTTATCTGATTGTTTGGATGTAGTTATCGTAACACTTTGCATGTGTGCATCAACCGATGCAAAGACTGAAGTTTATCCTCATCCATATAGAAATGTTATCATGGCATTTTTTCGTGGTTGCACACAACAATAAAATCCATTGGTGTGCTGCACTCTAATTCTACCAATGGACGGCTTGATATGCAGAGTCAGACCAAAATCTTACAAAGAAACGTCTACATGTAGCAGTGTAATCTAGCTCTTTGTAAGTCCACTAGATAAATTTGAGCCAAGCTAATTGTGGATTTCTCAAACAGGTACAATTTTAGTCAATCAGACCTCGTCGGGAAGAATTTTGCCAACAAACTTGTCAAGGGCACGGTCCCACTTGTTCTTGATTGGGCCATCAGGAACGGGAGATGTCCGTCGCCACAGCACAATGGCAACAAGGATATTCCCTATGGAGTCTGCATTAGCACCCACAGCTACTGCGTTAATTCCAGTAATGGCCGAGGCTACTTCTGCAATTGCAGCGAGGGATACGTCGGCAATCCCTACGAAGGCAACGGATGCAAAAGTTTGTCTTCATTTCACCCTTCGTATTCCTTTGGGCACACTAACCCCAAATATTCTTCTCGACAGAAGAAATATCTACCTTTTCTATTTATCTAGTGACTTTAGATAAGGGGGTGGGTATGGTTTGGATGGGGCTTGTTCTCTGACAACCACAAACAGGATAAATGTCTCCCCCTTTGAAAACACCTAAATGCTATCTATAAAATAGTAAAATTGTGTAAAAGAGTCAACTATTTTTTTTTCTGATATAGGGTGTTTTTACTAACTCATAATGAAACATCAAGGGTATACAAATACAATGAGCATACGCCGAACTCTGCATAGCTATGATGCACACATCCATTACCAACACGCGTGCGTGTGCGCACACACACAAAGGATTGCACTGGCCGAAAAGCAAAGCCATAGAAGACCAACTCTATGCCTAGGTTCCCGCAAAAAAAACTCTATGCCTAGACGGAGGGGAAAAAGGAAAGGGGGAGGGAGGGCAACATTGATCCTTGTCGAGCAATTGCAACCACCGAAAATTATGTAAGTGCATATGGCCCACACGTGATATCCATGTGAGATGAAAATGATACACACACCAAGCAAATAGCCGGTCACCCAAAGCTGAGCGCAGCCATTGACTGCAGGGCGGGAGAAGGCGCCACCATCAAAATCCCACCTTGGAGACGATCCGGCAGTACCATACTTTTGTCGCTAGTGTCTGTCAGTGGTAAATATAGGCACCCTAGACAATACACCACGTTGTCGCTGTCCCACGAAGGCCGCGATTATCGCCGAAAAATTGCCACGCGCCATCTTTGTAACGACATGTCTCAGTGAAGGACAGCTGACACCCTCTTCCTCTCTCCGCCATGATGCAATGCTTCATGCCACGCAAAGCAGGGCACCAGCGAAACATGGACACGTCAGCTGTAGCGCAAACCCGCCATCATCCGCTGCCCCCCTAGCCAATGCACAATCAAAATGATGATCCCAAGAGAGAAAACTGACACCATTGACTTGATCGTCCAATCTGAGATCACCTGAATCTAGGGTTTCTCCCAAGCAATAGGTAGGTAGGCGAGTAGATCATTCACGACTCCATCAACAAGGTAACAGCGCACAAAGGCGTCGCCATCGTTGGGCCAGAAAATCCGTGCATGGCTTTTGCCGTCCATCTCGCTGCAGCCAAACAATTCGTCTAGCTACACGTTGGCCAAGATAGAACCATGCCATCGCCATGTGTGACAACCGAGCCACAAGTCGTGACACGACCCAACAGGCCCAATTGCCGCTTTCCGAGCCCCGTCGATGAGTGCATCGCCGCCCGCTGACTGCCACCAAGATCCCCCAACCGACGATCCTAAGGTGTTGCGAGGAAGGTTCCTGGTGCCTTCGTCGGTCGCACAGGACTCACCCGGTGGCTTCCTCCAGTGGCGGCGCATGGACAAGAAGGGTTGGGGGCGGCGGCACCTAGTGTTTGAAGGGAACTCCCGGGTCGCCCTAGGCAAGGACGACGTGAGGGGCGTATCAGTTTGACAAGTTCTCCTCATCTAAAACACAAAAAATATACAATAAATGAAATATGCTTCAACTAATTAGATGAGGCAAAACGAAATATATGGCTTAAATCTATGAACATGATTTCTAGATATGATTATGGCAATTAATCATTGACAGATCATAAGAACTGAGGGTGAAGAGTAGAGTTTATTTAATACAGAGTGAATTCCAATTTTTAATCTCTATTAAGTAATATTTGGAAAGTGTTTGCCGCATTCAACAAAGAAAATCACATTTTACTCCTTAGTTTGGACAATGTTATGGCTTTGCCTAGCTTTATTATTTTCTCCAAGCTTAAAAGCTATATCAGTTTGTTGGGACGACATGATAGCATATCGTACAGACACCACAAATGAGTACTCATTAGGGTATTACCAAATACTGTGAAATTTCCTCATGTTGTATCAAAGTATGTCAAATTCTACAAAATTATGTAAGTTCTGCCAAACAGGTAAGCTAGCTGCATCACATTGCTCTCCCTGAATATGGATGTGAGATGTCTGCCTAGTCAGTTTTCATGTCATCCTGACACATGGTCCCACCTTGTTAGTTCGGAAAAAATGGAAATGGGGTATAAGCCGTTGTTAGGAATACTTCTCCAAGCAGCTAGGAAGCTAGTTACCTTTAGAATGGAATATACTTCCTAATATTTGGAGAAGTATTTCTAACAACTTCAATTCATACCTTTAAATTTTGTTATATGGTTAATTTTATAAAATAAATAAGGTTTAAGGTTTGAATGGGAGTTATGGTTCATGTGTTCAAGTGATTAGGATGATTGTAGAATAGATAAGACTTAGTGTCTGAATTTTTTTAAGAGTAACTTAATGTTTGAATTGGATTCATTTTCAGATATTAATGAGTGTGAGCCATCGACGTGGCCAAAGTCAATAAAGTACGGAAACTTATTTCCTTGTCATGGTGGGAAATGCCGCGATGTGGATGGTGACTATGAATGCAATTGCAATTTTGGACGAAGAGGTGACGGTAAAAGTGACAAGGGTTGTGAACCTGTATTGTCCTCAGCTGCAGTTGTCGTGATAGGTAAGGTTGATGTACATGTAATTTATTCCAGAAATGAATATTGCACTACCTACATATTCTTGTTGGGTCTCCATTAACTTTTTATGGATGAGAAGTGTCTTAGTCTAGATAGTAGGTGGTTACGGTGAGAGATAATGCTCTAGTATATGTAGTTTACATAATTCATTATGTATAAACAGATCTAGACTCTAGAATACTAGACAATGATATATGTACAACCTAAATCTATTGTGTTTCACTACTTGGAGGAAAATTATGTACCTTAACATGGCAGTTGTTTGCTGAATTTGCTGAAACATGATAGATGACCTCTTTTCAGATGCTCCCTTTTACCTCGCAGAAGGTAAGAGTACCTAAATGATCCGAGCTATTGATTCTACAAATTAGTGTGGCAAATTTATTAACACATGCAAATTAGCTAGCCTCGGTTGGTCTCTCTGTCGCGACGACTCAACATAGAAACAAGGAAACCCTTCCATCAAAATGAAAGAAAAAACACACCTTCCAAAATCACACTCTCCTCATATCTATATGGATAGAGATTCGTTTTACCAAACTCCTCTCCATAACGTGCGGGAAAAATTCAGGTCCCAAATCACCACCAATGGATGTGGGATCGTCAAGCGCTGGGGTGAAGTTGAATCGAGTCATCACGGGCCTAAAGCGACTAGTCCATTGGCTCAGTGGTCACATGACTGGCTACCACCGCTAGAAGAACACATTTAATTAATCCACTAAGTTCATCGGTGTATTTAATCTACATATGTGTTCTTACAACTTAATATCATAGGGAAGGAATCAAATCATTCTTATTATATCTTATGTCACATTAGTCCATGACTTCACAATATTTTTCTATCAGTTGTCATATTTAGTGGCTCCAATCAAGATAATTAGAAAAATAGTAGTTTCCTTACTTGGAAGCTCTCCATCTGGTAGGAATAACAATAATATTTTCTACATTATTGCCTGATACTTTCCAGTTGTCTTACTACCTTTTACCTAACATTTACCCAAATATAAAATCTGGTACTCCGTCCGATCCATATTACTAATCGCTGGTTTAGTACAAAGTTAGAGAGTAATACTTTTTTTTGACAATGTTTGTTTTCTGGTAGCTTACCACATGGACCATGTGGTTAGAGAGTAATACTTTTTATCATGGTTGAGTGACATATATTACCTCACATGGGTTAGCTATGGTAGGTAATAGGTCACCGTTCAGTCTAGGCCCATGGATGATAACAAATGGACAGCCAACAATAGGTGGGAGCATCTTAAAATTAGCCTGAGGGAATTAGGTGAAGATATATATGTGGGGAACTTTTTCACTACTTTATGGGTAACAAGCTATTAATTTCGTCTGGGGTAACCAAGTGTGTGCATATGTTGTGTTAGCCTGTTAGCTGACCGTTTTAGATTCCATACTATACTAGTGTCTACACATATCAGTGCTTTGCTAATCTGTGAATCGGCACAAAACTGGGATTATCTCACATGATACATGTACTTATTTACAGGAACAATTAGTGCCATATTCATATCAGCATTACTACTGCTATTCGTACATATGGAGCATGAGAAAAGAAAGCTTAGTGATCGTTACAACATGAATGGCGGAAAGTTGCTGAAAAGCATCAAGATCGAGATTTTCAAAAAGGAGGAGCTAGACAAAATAACCAAGAATTATAGTACTATAATAGGAAAAGGTGCCTTTGGTGAGGTCTACAAGGGAACTACTCGTGAATACATGCAGGTTGCGGTCAAACGCTCCATTGCAATCAACAAGGATCGCCAGAAGGATTTCGCCAATGAGATTCAAATCCAGTCACAAATAAGTCACAAGTATCTGGTCCAACTGTTGGGGTGTTGCTTGGAGACAGAAGTTCCTATGTTGGTCTATGAGTTCGTGCCAAGGGGAAGCCTCTACGACGTTCTTCATGGCAAGAATGGCAATATGAGAAGAGATCCTATCTCCCTACGAGCACGCCTCGACATTGCCATCTGCTCCGCGGATGCCCTTGCATACATGCATTCACAGGCGAGTCAGAAGATCCTACATGGAGATGTGAAATCCGGAAACATCCTCCTTGATGATGAGTTCATGCCTAAGGTGTCGGACTTCGGTACGTCGAGGCTTATGTCCATTGAAAAGGACCACACCAATTGGGTGATCGGGGACAGTAGCTACATCGACCCCGTGTATATGAAGACTGGACTCCTCACAGAGAAAAGCGATGTGTACAGCTTTGGGATCGTGGTGCTGGAGCTCATTACGCGGAAGAAGGCAAGGTATGATAGGAACAACAGTCTTCCATTAAACTATATCAAGGCTTCCATGGAAGGGGCTACAGGGCAGATGTATGATACAGAGATTCTGTCCAGCGGGGAGGATGTGAAGTGCCTCGGCGAGGTTGGACTGATCGCGCTGCAATGCCTCGAAGTTGATGTGGATGACAGACCGACCATGACCGAAGTCGCGGAGAAGATTAAAAGGTGTAAGAGTCGGTGGCTGCAAAGCCATTGGCATGGGAAGACCAAAGCATTGTGATATCTGTTGTGTGACAAGTGAAATTATTTTGTTTTGCCGGTGTTCTCTGGTGCAGTTTTACTTATCATACCTTGTGACGTGGAGGTGTGTGATTGTGTTTACTTAATGTCAAAGCAAATTGTGATAAAATATTGTATAATAAAGGCAGGTCGCCTGGCTAATTTATAGGCTGACACGGTCGTTGTACGTCAAGGTGCAAGACACTCAACTATTGCTTAAGCCCTCGTTGCTTTTGATCATGACTAATACTCGAAGTGTTGTTTTTCGCAAAAAAAATGTAGTGTTGTAAAAATAAGTATGTTTCTTCTTAAGACAAATACATATAACTCTCATGCATGACCTTAGTAATAAGAAATACAAGGTGAGAACTAACCATCTAACAAACATACATCCATCTACATATATATCAACAAAATTATTTAAAGAAAACTAAACTTAAAACTAAACAAAGAGGAGAGGGAGGTGCTCACCGGTTCGCGGGGC